ACTGCAACAATCAGTTGCCTTTGAGGATTACTTGTATTAGGGTTGCCAATATCCTGGACATCTCCCAGAATTACAACTGATCTCCAGACTAAAGAGATCAGTTCCCCTGGAGAAAATGAATGGAAGACTCAATGGCATTATACCCCACTGAGGCCATTCCCCTCCCTAATCCCCATCTTCCCCAAGATCCACCCAAATCTCCAGGAATTTACTGACCTGGAGTTGGCAACCCTACAGACTATAAATGTTCAGACTGAGTTTTGGATTTTGTTTCTTTTGAAAAATCAAGTTTCTCCCCAGTTTTTCCTAAAGATTTCCCCCCAGTTTTTTTAACCAGAAAAAGTATACTTTTTTTCGGGGGGGGGGGGGAAGAACCTCAAATGAATTATTTTCACTTTTGCAATGAATGAGATGCTTTTAAAGATTTTGTTTTACTCACTCAAAATACATAGATATCATTTCCCCACTCCCTCTCTCCCTCTTGCTTTTCTTCTTTTCCTGGCAGTGTGTGTATGTGCGTGTGTTTTAGTATCTGTATATCTGTGGGCCACAGCTCTGAATAGCTAAACCTGCAGTTCAGGGTCACACTTGCCCCAAACAGATTTTTCTGCAAAGTTGGGGTACTCCTTAGGTTTTCAGAAAAACCTTTTTTAAAATAAAAATAAAAAATTCATTGGAAGTTTAAATTTCCTGAAATTAAATATAGTGTTGTGTGAGCTGCTGGCAGGCCTGGCCACAGTGGCCTATTTTCTTATCTCTGCTGATTTGATTGATCTGGTATCTTGAATTGGGGAAAACTATTGCTAGTGATCATTATTAATAAGTTTGCCTAAAGACTTTGGTGCTCAACATAGTCATCCAATACCTATCTGTCAAGATCATAATCAATTGAGAGGAAAATGGAGTTCTGAAAACTGTACTTTTGTGTAGAACTTTGACCTTCTCAGATGAATGTCATGCTTTTGAGAAAGAAATTACTTTAGGATCTTGTGCAACATGATAGCTGCTCTAAGCTAGAGCAAATCTACTCCTGCTTGTTGCCTCTGTACTGTAAACTGATCTATCAAGATAAGGCCCTGAAACCTACAAAAAAATAGCTGCTTTAATCTTGAGTGTAAGTGTCTAAAAAGTTTGCTATCAGGCACTTATGCAATACAGGTGTGTTTGCTCTTCACTTACACTACAAGCTTTTCTTTTTTTAAAAAAAAGTATATAGACAAGCTATACACAAGAGTAAAGAAGAAACTTGTATTACTAACTGGCAAAAGCAGGAGGCAGGTAATGGCAAACCACCTCTGAATGTCTCTTGCCTTGAAAACCCTACAGGGTCATTACAAGTCAGCTGTTACTTGTTGGCACTTTCCACCACCAATTTCAGACCAATAAGAGATAATTGGTGTAATCAACAAGCAAAATATAATATCTTAAGGCTATTGACATTGTAGAATAATGGGATGGATCCAGTGCAAAATAGTCATTTGTGCTAGAGGTGGAACCAATTGTGCAACCAGTTTTTGAGCTCTATGAAACAGAGAAAAAAGTGCTAGTTGATGCACAAAATCTTGTGCAAGTGGAACTAAATCCATTTATGTTTCTGTCTGAACACTGTTGGATCCAGGCAAATGTCATGGAAGTAGTGTCACTTTTCTTTGAAATTCTGTAGTCTTCTATATGTATATCACACTGTATACACTCTACTCTGAAGAAGTATTTTACAAGTCTTATTTTCACTCATGACTTGCATGCTTTACTGCTTTAGATGAACATGTAAACTCTGAGAACAGTTTTTCTAACAAAGCCTACACGTTCTATAAGAATCCCTGTAGAGGCTTAAAGTACCTCCAAGTATTGAGGATTTGCAAACTATTCTGAGTATCCCAGCAGAGTCTGCAATTATCATGAATCTTATAACTAATAATAATCTATAACCATTGTGTAAATTGTGTTCATGGTTGTCTCTTAAGGTCTAAAAGCTTCTCAGAAACTATCCCTAGCACTAGATTTACATTAAAAAGCCAATAAATTACACCTGTTCAGTGTTATCCTTGAAATCTAGTATAACCTTGTTGAAGCCAGTGATGCCAACTTTGAAATCATGGTAAATCTTGGCATGGCATGTGTGTGCACATTTAGTTTCAAGAACCTAATCCTTTCCCAACACTAATTCTTACAAAGGTGGGAGGAAACACCAGTGGCCAAAAAAACTGGCAGTGGTGGTAGAGGCCATCAAGAAGGGTTGGGAACAGAAGCTTCTCTCTTAAATCCTAACACTAGATTGCTGTCTCATGTTTAAGGAAAAAGATGCTTCTGAGTGTGCTCAGGAACATAATTTGCTGATAGGGTTGTCAGGCTGCAGCCTTCAGCCCCTAAGGCACTTAGGGAGCTGGGACTGGTGTGCTGGCATCACACTGGTATGCTGACATCACTTCCAGTGAAAATCAGAGTTGATGTCCTGGAACACTCTAGGGTTTGCAAAAACACTATGGTAAAACCATAATGTTATTGCAAATCCTAGAGCATCCCATGACATCCTTTCTGGTTGTCACTGAAATTGACATCAGCAGTGTGATGTAATGCCAACACATGCCCACATTCCTCCCACGGGTGCTTGAGGCAATGGTCTGGAACAAACTAGGTTGCCAGGAAGTCCTCCATTATAGTGAGAGTCCTGGCAACCTTGTTTACTAACAGGAACCATGGGGAATATAGAGTAATATAGCCTAAGAGCTGATTCACACACACTATGTAAATATTTTCAAGTTAGGACATGGTATGGTAACAAAATTTCAGCTTTTGCAACCTTCCTCAACTTAACAAGAGACAGGTTTTTGCATTAGTCTTTATCACATGATCTACCCACTGTGAAAAAGGAGTCTAGCATGCAGCTTGGGCCACATGTGAACCAGTTCTACTTACCTGATTTTTTCCCCTCACAAGTTATGATCCCCCCAGCGTCTTTTTCCTGTTTTATTTTTTCTTGATGCTTCAATCACTTTTTCTTTGGTAAATCATTAGTATAGCATGAGAAATAATGTCACATATCCCAAAACAGCTATTACATTTCAGATCTTGAATTGTATTTAGTTGTTTTGAAATCAGAGACAAATTCATGCACAAATTCTATATTTTCTTGTTAGTCTTTACTATTACAGACAAACTAGTAAATTGAAAAATAGAAATATGTTATACCTGCAGAGCTGAATATAATTAAGAAATGGAGGGGGGTGAAATAGGGCAGCTAAAACTCTTAGATATGAACTGGTATATATTTTCATGAATCTACAGAATAACAAGCAATAGGCACATTGTGATGTATAGGTATTTATAATAAACTAGCAGTAAAGCCCGTTGTGAAAACAATACAACGAGATCTAGAAAGAGGCTCTGGGGGAGTGCTCTGGCTTTGGGCAAACAGTGTCAATTTACTGTGGTGACCTCAGCAGGGTATAATGACAGAGGCCACTGTTTTCTCCAGAGGAACTGATCGCTGCTACCTGAAGAGCAGTTGTAATTGTGAGTGATCTGTAGCCCTCACCTGGAGATTGGCAGCAATTGTTACCCAGGACAAAGTGGCTGGTTTGGAGGGTGTAGTCTATGGCATTCTACCTGTCTGAGGTCCCACCCCTCTGCAAACCCCACCCTCTCCAGGCTCCACCCCTCAAATCCCCAGGAATTTGTCAGCATGTAGTTGGCAACCCCATCTCCTTCCCAGCTAACCATCAACCTACCATTATCTGCCCCTTTGACTTCAGCTGACTTCTGTCCTCCCTTCTGCAGAGCAGTTATAATTCTGAGTGCTCTCCAGCCCTCACCTGGAGATTGGCAACAATGGTTCCCTATGTGGGACTGACTGGTTTGGAGGGTGGAGTCTATGGCAGTGTACCTGTCTGAGGTCCCACCCCTCCTCAACCTCACCCTCTTCAGGCTCCATCCCTCAAATCTCCAGGAATTTCCCATCTGGAGTTGGCAACCCTATCAGGACTGGCCCCAATGTGTTTTCTCCCAAAGGCCAAAGTAGGTGACAGGACCAAGCTTAGTTGCCTACCAACAGGCATTGAGGGGAATGTAGGGTTGCCAGCTCTAAGGAGGGAAATACCTGGAGTTTTGGGGGGTAGAGGGCAGCATTGGGTGGCGGGGGGGGGGGGCGGAAGGACTCAGCAGGTATAATGTCATAGGGTCTACCCTCCAAAGCAGCCATTTTCTCCAGGGGAAACTGATCTCTGTCATCTGGAGATCAATTGTAGCAGTGGGAGATCTCCAGGTCCCACCTGGAGTTTGGCAACCCTAGGGGAAAGTGTGCTGCACAGCAGGGGGTTGAAGAGAATGGTTTGATGGGTGCTGGGCCAAGATTGGCAACAATAGTTCCCCAGGAGCAAATAGCTGGGTTGGAGGGTGGAGTCTATGGTACTGTAACCTGTCTGAGGTCCCCATCTCCCCAGGCAGCTTTTAAAACATGATCCTGGGACCTACACACCACCAGACATTCCAACTGCCTTGCGGGGGGGGGAGTATGAGGTGTGGAATGGAGTGAAGTCCAATCAGCTTCCATATGCAAAAGACCTTGAAGGTTCCATATGCAACTGACATTCCAACTGCCTTGCGGGGAGGGGGGTGAGTTTGAGGTGTGGAATGCAGTGAAGTCCAATCAGCTTCCATATGCAAAAGACCTTGAAATGCTGGGCGGGACTGCACAAAGCAGCCAGTCAACCCAGCCAGCGTCTTCTGAGTGGCAGTTCAAGCGTCCATACACTAAAGGAGTGCATTTTAGAACTTTGGCACCCACTATTCAATTATATATAAGGAGAGATTAACATTTAAAAGTGTGCCATATTTCAAATACTAATATATAATAATTTTATTCCCAACAATATGGTTGTTATTTTTAAATGCATTTAGAATGATATTACGAATTACTAGGTATCTTTAGCCTTAATCTGTTGACTTCAATGTTACATTCACTGAAGATTTGTAATGGAATATGTATAATTTGCCCTCTTTAGGCTCTCGTAAATGATATCCAGACAATCCAGCCCAGTTTGAACAGCGTTAATGAGATTGGGAAGAAGATGAAGAATGAAGCTGAGCCAGAGTTTGCTTCCAAAATGCAGATGGAGCTAAAAGCACTTAATACTCAATGGGATCACATTTGCCAACAGGTATTACAATGCCTGCTGAGAGTGCTCCCCTTCTAATTAAATTTCAAGTTTCTTATTGTATAATTTTCCCCACTTGGTGCACAACTACTGAATATCAGATGTAGAGCTAGACATTTAGGGTAAACACTAATTAGCCTTCCATCTTGCAAAAAAAATTCCGCCATGTAGACATACATGCAGAATAGAGAGACTTCACTGTGATTGTTTCAGTAAAAATATGATGTTCTATAGTTGTAACACAAATATGAACTTTGGTGCAAACTGCAACAAATATGTAAAAGCGAAAAACCTACTATATAAAAATATATAATATTGCTATTTAAAATAGCTTTCTCTTAATTCAAAATATATTAAAACCTTGTATATTAAAATAGGGAATGAAAAAGGACTACTGGGATCCAGAGTGAAATAGCTTGCCAATACAGATTGCAGCATCTATGTATTAAGAAAATATGTTAATTATAAGCATTAGATTTTTAAAGGTAGCCAACAAAATGCCCTTGTTAGAAAGGGAAGAACTGGACAATAATCACTTGTCTGGTTTATGAACAAATTCATATACATCAGTGAATAGGTTTGATCCAAACACTCAAAGATGAAATATGGGGGGGGGGTGTACAAGAACAGATATGTTTATTTATTTATTTATTTATTGTTTGGATTTTTATCCTGCCCTTTCCTGCATGCAGGGCTCAGGGCTGCTCACAACATATTAAAAATAAAAATAAAACAATAAAAACATTCTAAAGCTCAATTATGTATCAACATAATACAAGTTATTACAGTTTTTCAGCAAAACAATGAAAGAATAATATAAGATGTAAGCTAATTTACATGTTGGAAGTAGACATCTCAGCATATAGAAAATTTGAAAGTTTTGGGGGCATTCTGCCATATGCTCTTTACCATATATGGTAATGAATATATTACACTTTTAACCCATTATAGCTATTTCCACACAAAAACTTTCTGTATTGTTCTTTGTGTTATTTAGTTCTGAAGCTGAAGTGTGGGAAATGGTACCCAGAAAAAAACACACACACAAGATACATACTTTAATGTTAGGGTTGCCGGGTTACAGCTGACACTCCCCAGCAAGAAGGGTGGAACCTGGCATTGTACCAGCATTGTGCCAGTGCACTTACATCACTTCCAGTTAAAACTGTTTTTACCATAGATTTTTTGCGAAATGATAGAACACCCCCTATGTAATTGTGCCAGAGCAATGCTGCAACACATTCTTTCCCCCTACCCCCATGAATGAAAGGCAATTATAGGGATTGTCGGGATGTGTCTTGCTATAGCATCCCAACGTAGTGGTTTTATGCACAAACCTTTCTAATTTTAGAGTGAATTTCAAAAAAGAAAACGTTTGCAGGTTGTTTTTGACCTGCAAGGTAATTTACTATTAATGTTTTTCACTTCCCGCTGAAAATATGATTGCAGTCAATACTCTAAAGATTTGAAACCAACCTTGGCCCCGGCCACATGTGCCAGAAAACGCAGGGAGGGGAGGCGTGGCAATTTGCGCCGTCACATTCTGATCCACCATTATGTGATCAGACACGACGGTGGCACACCGGAGTTTCGTCCTTCGGCGCACGCTGCAAAGAGGATGGCTAGAGGGAATAGGTGTGCGCCAGCATGATCACATCGAACGAGTCCATCTGCAGCCCGTGGCAAACCATTTGCTAGTAGATCTTTGTAGGTACTTTTTAACTGTGCATCTTTGGTGGCACACCACGGGTTGGCCATGGGTGCGCTACGCTTCCCAGATGTTGCGGTGTGATCGTGCCCCAAATATCCGCCCAGCATTCATGCCTTTCACGCAGCAAATTCTCCATGTGACCGGGGCCTTTGTTATTATTTTTAAATCATGTTATTTAAAATGGGATTGTGGTGTTCCAGACAAGACCCTCTTTTAAATGCAATTCATGGTTTTCTTTAAGGCATATGCTAAGAAGGCAGCACTGAAAACTGGTTTGGATAAGACAGTGAGTCTCAGAAAGGATTTGTCAGAAATGCATGAATGGATTACACAAGCAGAAGAAGAGTACCTTGAGAGAGATTTCGAGTATAAGACTCCAGATGAATTACAGAAAGCTGTTGAGGAACTGAAGGTAAAAAATGCAAACTGACTTGTTTAATTTGTGTCTCATGCTCGCCTTGGAGTTACTGTTGCGCACAATCTGTTTGCTCATTTGAAAGAGTTGCCTATTTAAGCTCTACTTGAGAAATCTCAAATTTGAAGTGATAGGTGATTTGAGGTAATTTTGTTCCAATTTAAAGTCTGTTGTAAGATATCTGATTCTTTGAAGAATTTTACTGCTAGAGGTTTTTCAGTTTTTACTTGGGTTAAGCACTGCATGTGTCCTTATTGTTTTGGGGTAACCACATCAAAAATTGCACCTGGTCCATTTGCTCTACAAGATAGAGATGAACTGAAATGAATCAGAGGTTATAGCTTTAGGATAATTTCCTTAAGTGATAGAAATAATAATTTAATGGGTTAACATAAAAGGGGATCAGTACCTGCCCTAATTATCATGGGAAAACCAATTTAAAAGCATAAAGTATTGCTAGATGCAACCTTATCACTGCGATTTGTTAGAGTCTGCATGATGTAAATATAATTTAGGAGAAGCTGCATCAAGAAGGAAAATAGCCTGGGAATTAATTATATGATGTACATTTCATAAGACGAAGAGGAAGGCCCACCGAGCCTTCTCCTGCCCCCCCCCAGTGGTGGCTGCGGTGGCGGTGAGGCAGTTCTCACAGCATTTTCTATGCATGCGCAGGGAACTCTCTTTTACTTTGGGGGGGATTTAAGTATCTCCCTATAGTTTTTTATAGATTTCAGATTTTTCTGCACATCTGAGGATTGCCCCAAATTTGCAGGAAAATTTCTTTGCCCCCTAGGTGCCCCCAATGTGCATATTTAGATATCCGCATGCAGGGGGTGCCTTGGCTATTAGTATATAGATTATGTTGCCTTAAGTAGCCTATGCAGCATATGCACAGTATTTCCTTTGCTGTAATTAATACTCTGTTCCAAACTACTCTGGTCAGATCTCATTCACATATAGGCATGCACTTAAAAACCCTAGGTGTCTAGTTAGCTTTCCTATATCAGATAATTGATCTCCTAGGAAGACATACACCTCAATAATCTTTATCATTCATTTTGGATGTAGTATACTAGTAAAATATTACTACAGAATCTTGCCTCCATTCCATCTTTTTATTAAAATGTAATTATTTACAACATTTAACATAGACTCACATAAAAGAAATGATAACATCCACTGATTCTGCATATATTAAAGGAGAGTAGGTATTTGAACCCATTAAAATGGCTTACTAAAAGTAAACAGGTTACAGGCAAGGAACATCTTTGAAGAAGTTACTCCAAATCTTCAGTTTCCGATATTTATAAGTTTCTAAAGTCATCTCAAGATGGCGATCAGTGCAGAGCGTTAGCTGAGAGCTCTGGCCGTGTTTGATATTGCCATCTTGATGGGTTTTAACTTCTTACTACCAGTAATTTTAATTATATATCAATGTAGTTTTAAATGTTTAAAATGCTGTTAATCGCCCAGAGCCTGCTCTGCAGGGTGAGTGATTCATAAGTTTAATAAAATAAATAACTCTTTCAACAATACCTAAATGTCCAACTTGACAGGTCTCATATTCTTGACTACTACTTACCTTATAACTTCAAACACGATACAAAGTTATCTGAATTCAGATATCTTCTTAAAATGCATTAAAATTGTTAGTTCATACTTGCCACTTTCCATCATAACAGAGAATAACAAAAATACAAGACATGTGTTTCTACAAACTTGAAAAAGCCCACAGTTTTCAGGAAAATCTTTAATCTTTTTTTAAAAAATGGAAGCAGCCCCTGTAGCTTTAAGAAACAAAGTGATGATTGTGAGGGTTTCTAGGCAACTGCAATAGCATTGTCAGCCTTGAAGCTTTGGTTTTTGTCAGTAAAAGTTAAGGGAAAGGGGAAGGGCCTTTGAGGAAACACTCATTTGGCCAGACCTGGCAGTAGATACAGGCAACTTGCTACCACCAATGTTCCCTCTAAGCTGTGGAGTCCTGTGAACAAAAATTCTACTCTGTGAGCTACCGGCATCAAAATTGTGAGCAAGTGATTTGGCTGCTGCATAGATTACAGCTTGCTGTGGAGCCATCCTTCCTGAGCTAAGACAAAAATGTGTGAGCCAGAGGCTAAAAAACTGTGAGCTGGCTCACACTAACTCAGCTTAGAGGGAACCCTGGCTACAACCCAACTTGTATGACTCACCCAGGCCTGTTTGCTTGCTACTGTTCAACATCAGCTACTCCAAGAAAGCCAGAGTAGTATAGTGGTTAGAAATTCAGACTAGGATCTGGGAGACCCAGGTTTGAATCACCACTCTGCCATGGAAGTTTCCTGAGTGATTTTGGGGCAGGTTCAGGATTGTTTTCAAGGTAAAATGGAGGAGAGAAGAATGACATAAGCTGCTTTGGGTCCTCATTCTGGAGACTGCAGGGTATAAATTAATTAAATAAATAATTAATATGTCAGAAGTTCAGGGGGCAAATAAAAGAGAGGTGGGTGGTAAAGAGAGAATGAAGCAGGGAAAAGTGAAGATACAGGACTTGCCAGGAGGAGGGAAAGGGGAAATAGATGGAGGGGGCAGTAAAAAATAGAACAGAAAATGAAGTACCCCCACAAGTCCATACAGGCCCAGTCTGACCAACAACAGTACATACCTTGGCTATAGTTTTTCCAGATAGTAGCTTCCAATGTGAGGTAAGGAAAGAAAACTTAAGGGCAGATAAAGGTAGATTGGCTGGTGGCTAGGAAGTAGAGAAAGAAGATGGAACAGAAGACACAGTATGAAGGCTTTCAAGGGAGGGAAAGAGGAAATGGTAGGGAAGGGGGAATAAATCCCTGTGGGTACCCAACTTGTTTTTCTATATTCTCTTGAGAGTAAGTGTACTGAATATTAAACATGTGAATAGTCTTCTTACTTAAGATGAGTGTGATCAGATTTTGGAACAGATGAAGTAAAACATAAATTGGCATTTTCTTATAATAGCATATGGTATAAATGACATAGTTACCAATCCTTCTGTATTCATTGTATATCTGTATTTATTCTTTATATAATCTATCTAGCTGTCCACCTGGATAGCCCAAGCTAGTCTGATCTCATCAGATCTCAGAAGCTAAGCAGGTTTGGCCCTGGCTAGTATTTGAATGGGAGACCTCCAAGGAATACCAGTGTCATGAGATGGAGGCAGGCAATAGCAAATGACTTCTGAATGTCTCTTGCCTTGAAAATCCTGCAGGGTCACCATAAATCAACTGTGACTTGATGGCACTTTCCTCCACCATACAAACGTACACATATCACCATAAATGCATTGCATTGGTTTTCATTATTTATAGTAGATGAGTTGAAGTGATTTAGGGGATGTGGAATGTATAGTATAGCCCAATCTTGTCAGATCTTGGAAGTTAAGCAAAGTCAATACTTGGATTAGCGGCCACCAAGGAAGACTTGACTTAATCAATGGCTCTGAAAACCCTCTGGGATCACCGTAAGTCAGCTGCAAATTCATGGCACTTTACACACACACATAAATCATTTCCAAATTAAAATAGTGATTTATCTAGCTTGATCCAATAACATTTTATACTTGTATGCCAGTGTAATGGGGCCAATGGCCACCATCAGCTCCTACATCTCTCTCCTGGGTGGGGCTCATTCCCTGGGTAGCCTGATCTCATCTGTTCTCAGAAGCTAAGCAAAATCAGCCATGTTTAGTACTTGAATAGGAGACTACCAAGAAAGTCTATGGTTGCTACACAGAGGCAGGCCATGGCAAACCATCTCTGAACATTTCTTGCCTTGAAAATCCTATCGGGTCACTATGACTTGACAGCAAAAAAAAAATCTCATTAATCATACAACAACCCTGTAAAGTAGGTCATTCTGACCAGTGTTATGCTTCTGCTCGCTCTCTCTCTCTCTCTCTCTCTCTCTCTCTCTCTCTCTCTCTCTCTCCCTCTCTCTCACACACACACACACACACACACACACACACACACAAACACACACACACACACACATATATACTGGAGCCGTAGTATGTATAAAAACCATAAGCAATGGTTAGGGCCAATTATGTAGGTCTTTCCCATCCAAACATCCCTTTCCTTTCTGACAGCACTCACATGACATAGCTGCCTAATACAGCCCCATGGAGAAGTGACTACACATGGCTAGGTGAGGGTGAGTAAGAACTGACTTGTCCTCATTTTACCGATTTGTGTTGGAGAGGGCTGAGGCTGACTGGCAATGGCTTTAAAACAATATTAATTGATTATTCATTGCTTATGGGATATATCACAGAAAACTTTTCTCTGCTCATGGTCTCAACCACTATCCTGTAAAATCAGGTTAGGATTTTTGTATTTTTATAGTAATGTATAGATTTTCCTCATTTTTGTCAGCTTTCCATTCTGTAATGGTTACAATTCATTTATATGATTTCAGAGAGCAAAAGAAGAAGCTGTACAGAAAGAGGTGAAAGTGAAGCTTCTCACAGACTCTGTGAACAATTTTATAGCAAGGGCTCCACCTGCAGCTCATGAGGCCTTAAAAAAGGAACTTGATGTTCTGACTAGCAACTACCAGAGACTTTGCAGCAGGTTGGATGGGAAGTGTAAAACACTGGAGGTCAGTTCTTTCTCGGGCTAACATACTGCCAGGCAATTCATGATAATGTTTTCTAAGCAGAAAATTTGATTATTTTTTTGTTAAAATTAATGTAAAATATTTATAATTTATTTATTAGGAGGTATGGGCATGTTGGCGTGAATTACTATTGTACTTGGATGTTGAAAGCAAGTGGTTAAATGAGATGGAATCAAAACTCAGGGCAACTGAAAATATTCAAGAAGGCACAGAAGAGATCTCAGAGGCACTAGATGTAAGTATTGTCACTGTTCACATGTTAATATCTAGGAAATGATACAATTTGATCCAAAAATGCTCTTCTGTTCTTGAGTGCAAGATGCCCTTCTGCTCAAGAAAAAAGTAGTTTTCCCATAAGGAGCAGGGGATCTTTGATTCTGACTACATCACAACTGGAAGGATTGATATCAAAGCACAATTTGCTCAGTCAGTAAAATTTATGTTGCCATCTGAATAAGGTAGGGCCACTACAACCACATGGCCATTAAAATTCCATGTAGTGTAACATCTTTGATGGTGAGACGGTTGGAATCCGAGTCTTATGAGGAAAGGCTGAAAGAGTTGGGTATGTTTAGCCTGGGAAAGAGAAGGCTTAGAGGGGACATGATTGCAGTCTTCAAGTATTTGAAGGGCTGTCGTATAGAAGATGGAGCAGATCTATTCTCTCTTGCTCCGGATTGCAAGACTAGATCTAATGGGTGGAAATTACAAGGGAGTCGTTACCGGCTAAATATCAGTAGAAACTTCCTAACTGTAAGAGTGGTTGAGCAGTGGAACAGTCTGCCTCGGGAGGTGGTGAATGCTCCTTCGCTGGACATTTTCAAGCGGAGGCTGGATGACCATCTTTCCGGTATGTTGTAGGTATGTAGGGCTATCTTTCAGTATACTCCTGCAGAGTGCAGGGGGTTGGACTAGATGACCTACAAGGTCCCTTCCAACTCTAATATTCTATGATTCTATGATCTGTACAGGTAGTAAAGATGATGTGGAGACATTAATTGGGTCACAGCATTATTAGGTTGGAGTCAAAGCTGTCAGAAAGAATAACATGGCCATGTAATTCTAGTTTATTCATAGCACAGTCTGAATCAGAGTTTCTCCCTCCCTTCTAAATCCTCTGAGGTCAGTGGGCTTTGAGGAGTGTGCCTCTGTTTAGGATTGCACTGACAATTGCTTAATACATATACATGCTTATCAGGTGACTGTGTGGCAGTATATCAACAAACTCACTTATATTGATCAATGCTTATATTGATGGAGAAAATATCTACCAGCCTGTTGTTACCTTACCCAGCTTCACATCTCCAGGATACTCTTCCTTTAAAAAACAAACAAACAATTTTGCATGATTACTTTATAAGTGGGGCTTACTCTCAAACATATGTGCATATGATTACAGATTTTGGATGCTGGAATTGATTCCCTCTTCCTTACTATTTTCATATACTTCCCTGATCCTGCTGCAACCTCAAGAAGGGCCTGACTACCCAAAGGAAACTTTCATATTGTATTTAAAAGTCTGCAGAATTACCATATAAATTTGTTCCCATAGTTAAGTTTTTCTTGGCTTCCTCCACTCAACAGCCTTTACTTTACCTAAGTATAGGTAAAAGTGAAGGGCTTTGGATGTAGGGTGGGAAACTAAACTTGAGAGACTAAGGTGTCCATGCCAAAAAAAACCTCAGATTTTTAAATGAGTTGATAAAAGAAGCATATACAAAAACCAAAAATGAGTTGATAAAAGCAGCATATACAAAAACCAAAAGAATATTTGACGTAAGAAAATAACAAGGAAAAATACATCTGGCTAAGCCTAACTAGACTGTACCCTATTTTGGCACATTCTTGAAATAGTTTTTTAAAGTCCAAATTGATTCTCTTCTTAGGCCATCATCTTGCCCTTGGCCCTTTCTGCACTAACAGCTCACTCTGGAGAATCCGAGGAATCAAGCCTTAAAAGTTAACTTCGGATTCACCCGCATTCCCTCTGCAATTTATTGTGTACTAGGAAAAAGGCCCATTGTGGAAATAAATACAACAACCTCTAGAAAGAGGCTCTGGGTGGGTGCCCCAGCCTTGGACACTCAGTGTCAATTTGCTGTGGCGACCTCAGCAGGGTATAATGACACTGAGTCCACCATTTTCTCCAGAGGAACTGATCTCTGCTACCTAAAGAACAGCTGTAGTTTTGAGTGATCTCCAGCCCTCACCTGGAGATTGGCAACAATGGTTCCCCAGAAGGGAATAGTTGGTTTGGAGGGTGGAGTCTATGGCTTTGTACCTGTCCGAGGTCCCACGCCTCCTGAAACCTCACCCTCTCCAGGCTCCATCCCTCACATCTCCAGGAATTTCCCACCTGGAGTTGGCAACCCTATCTCCTTCCCAGCCAATCATCAACCTACCTTTATTCCCCCCTCACTCTTCAGCTTTCCACCCCACACACACCTGCAGCCTCTCCCGGGCCTTTGGCCTGATCCAACATTGGCGTCTCTTATGTTCTTATGTTACGTTCTTATGATATGCAAATAACCTCTGTTTTCTGATTGGCTATGGGGGGAGAGGAATGTTGGAGGCAGGACTCAGGACTCAGGCAAAGCAGCCAGTCGATAGGGAGACATTCTGAATGACAGATCAGAGAGCAAACTGATTTTGGAGCATGTGGAATGTTCTAGAGAAGTGCCACCACCATTCGGCTTTTATTTATAAGGGAGATTCCGTACATACATTCCGCATCTACAAGCAAAACCCACCTTTTTTGCATAATTAATGTGGATGTATCAGTTGTGACATTGTGGCGGTAGCACCTAATTTTTTTAAAAAAATATGCAGTCATTCTGCCACAGCTGCTCAGTATCTGGCTCAGAGTGCCACCCCGCTGCCTTCTCTCTCACACTTCTCTCCCAGCCCAAACACCTCTGGGGTTAATTGCCCATGGTGCTTGCAGGCCACTGCCATTCAATCTCCTTCCCAGCCCCCAACTCTCACCTGCCTGCTAGAAGATTCCCCATCAGCACCACCAAGTTGCCTCCTCTCCCCACAGTAGCTGCTGGGGAGGCAGCTGTGGCAACCTCTGGGCAGAGGCAGGGGATGGGAAGAGCCCAGCTGCTTGCCTTGAAATAATTTCTGGGAGAGCTGGGAAGGCCTAGCTGCCAAGCATGGCTAATCTGCAGGGGGGAGCGAATCATTCCACCTTCAGGAAGGAACAGGGATTAATGCTGAGGGTCATGGGAACCATCTATCCCTCTTTAAAAAGAAAATTCCTGCCCTTCCTCCAAGGAGCTCAGGATGGCATAAATAGTTCAAAGATCTTGTAAATATTGGTATCCCTTCCCCTCTGCCAGTGAGATCCCAGCCCCTCCCCTGCTGGGGGAGGTGAACATATATCAAGATCAATGATCTATCTACGTTAGCAATAGTGGTCCAGGGAGAGGAAAAGGTGAAAGAGAGAAGTAGAAAAGTGCAGAGTGGGAGGGAGATGTGATAAAAGAAAGGTGGGTGGAAATAGGGGTGGAGGTGGCTGGGAAATGGGCAGTGTTGCAGAGTCCAAGGAAACTTGTCTGCTTAGCATTACCTCTGACTTGGAAGTGGAACTAAGTCTGCTGTGAAAGCACTCTAGGATAACCCAGGGTGAAGGCATGGGGAAAGCAACCTGACAGCTGAATGCTCAAAAATAAATGCAGAAGCAAAGAGAAAATGTGATAGTAAAATGAGGTGAACTTGGGAGTAAATGTAGATGCAAATTTAAACAGCAACCGAGATCTGTGGGGAAGGGGGGGGGTGGCCCTTGTTGCAGCAGCCAAGTTTTCCAGCAAAATTTTCCAGTGTTCATTTTAGGCCTCTGGCATCCATATTTCAACTCTTTCTCCTTACTCTTTAGCCTCTTGTTCATTTTGTTAATAGAGCTGGTCCTTTTTCCCAGATCTTGGCAAATCAGTAAGGGCATCCCAAAGTTTTTGTTCTCAAAAAACTGTCTTTTTAAGTTTAATTTTTCTGTATCCTCAGAAGACCCTCTCATTGGTTTTTGTTTTCTAGGCTGACCTTATGAACAAATTACCTGAAACTGATCAAAACTATTCCTTCCATTACAGCAAGTTTAAACATTAAACACAATAAAAACCAAATACAATATTCTGGAAACAGTTTCATTAATTCATATCAGTAATACAGTTTTGAATTTTTCAGTCTCTGGAAATATTAATGCAACACCCAGAAGATAACCGCAATCAAATTCGTGAGCTGGCGCAGACTTTAACGGATGGTGGTGTTTTGGATGAACTGATCAATGAGAAGCTGGAGAAATTCAATACTCGGTGGGAAGAGCTGCAACAGGAGGTAAATTTTAAGAAATATTGTGCAGATATTTCTAATTAACAATTGGTTCCTGAACAGTGTTTTAAAGATCTGAAGAATAATATTAATGCAAAGAGAAACTGTGAAGAATTAACCTGCACCCCAAAATCCCCATCATGGTTTGCTATAAAGGAGTCTATGGTAGAGCCAAGCTTTGAAGCAGAAAGGAAGAGTGCCTTTTACAGGCTCACAGGTACTGGAAGAGAAAAGGAGAAAGGTCCCGTCACTTAGGAGCATCTAACCTTCAGTTTTACAGAGGAACAAAGGCGCTAGCCAGAATGAAGTGATGAACACAGTCTAGAGGTGGACCCTTAAAGCTGCTCCATGGCAGAGAGCACCGGGGTGCAAGTTCTCCAGAGGAAAGGCATTTTAGGCTTCCTAATGGTGGCATACCGAAGGATGGTTAACTTGAGAGTAAAGAGGTGAGGGGTGTCACTGAGCAGTGACCTGGAACAACCCTGTATCTTCTCTACATAGGACAAACAGGACAGACCCTACACCAGAGGATAAATGGACACAAATCTGACATCAGGAATCACAAGACTGAGAAACCTGTAGAGAACACCAGCCTTCCAGGACATTCAATGAATGATCTCAAACTAGCTGATTATCAGTTTACTTCCCACAATTACAAAAAATGCCTTTTCACATTTATCCCCTATTTTGACATATTTATTACTTTGCTGTCCTTTCCCCCTTAATTAAATCAAAACAACTGCTGACCTTATAATCTTAGCTTGTTATTTAGTTTTGACTTTGCATATCTTAAAGCATCTGCATCATGTTACATGTTAATTTGCTGTTCAGCATCTGTCTATACGTTTGAATTCTACCTTCCATTCCAATGGATTTGAAAAAGTGTGCATACACACAAAAGCTCATACCTTGAATAAACCTTTGTTGGTCTTAAAGGTGCCACTGGACTCTAAATTTGTTCTACTGCTTCAGACCAACACGGCTGACGACCGAGAATGGAAGCTTATCCATTGTGTTAATTTATTTAGGTAATTTATATGCTGCTTCCTCAGAGACCTGATTGAGGGGGCTTATGAAGATAAAACAGTACAGTAAAATCATACGGACAACAGCATAAGAATTATCGGGAATAAACAAACTATAAGAACAAGCAAGGGGGATTAAAAACAGCATAAAATAACAGTACCCTTAAAATAATATTCATAAAACAGGTTGGAGGCTATACATAAAATAGCTGAAAAATGGAAGCCTTCAGTTAAAGTCTGAGTAAAGAAGAAATATTTTGGAGTGGCACCTAAAGTGACAGTAAGGTAGGTACCAGATGAGTCACAGGGGCATTCTAAATACAGGGTGCCACCACTGAAAAAGCCATGGTCATTACCTTTCTGAACTCAACAGACAGGACCCTAAACAGACTGATGGACTGGATGAAATCTCACTTTTTTTTTTCTTATTTACCCCTGAAATAAGCAAAAGAAGAAGCAAGTTTGGAACTACCTTTTTGCTTTGACTCTTGCCATCAGTATCCATTCCTCCTCCTGTTTTATCTCTAACTAGGAATAAGGCCCATCATGGAAATAAATACAATGAGATCTAGAAAGAGGCTCTGAGCGGGTGCCTGGCCTTGAGCACTCAGTGTCAACTTGCTGTGGTGACCTCAGCAGGGTATAATGACACCGATTCCACCATTTTTCCCAGAGGAACTGATCTCTGCTACCTGAAGAACAGTTGTAATTTTGAGTGATCTCCAGCTCTCACCTGGAGATTGGCAACAATGGTTCCCCAGGAGGGAATGGCTGATGACACCCAGCTCTATCTGATGTTGGGCGGCCGGTCGGGCTCTACTCCTGATGACCTTCATCGGGCGTTACAGGCTGTGGCTGGTTGGCTCAGGCTGAGCCGGTTGAAACTAAACCCGGAAAAGACGGAGGTCCTGGGCCTGAGTCGGACCGGCGCGGGACTCGGGCTCCCTCTCCCGACCTTCGATGGGGCACCTTTGGTACCATCGTCGGAGGTTAGGAGTTTGGGGGTGCGCCTGGACTCTTCATTAACGATGGAGGCCCAGGTGGCAACCACTGCCAGGGCGACCTTTTACCATCTTCGGCTGGCTCGGCAGTTGGTCCCCTATCTCAGCCGTGAGGACCTGGCCACAGTGATCCATGTGATGGTTACCTCAAGGCTAGACTACTGTAACGCTCTCTACATGGGGCTGCCTTTGTCGCAAATTCGGAGGCTGCAGCTAGTGCAGAATGCTGCAGCCAGGCTGTTGATGGGCCTCTCGAGGAGGGACCACATTCAGCCTGTGCTGAAAGCGCTGCACTGGCTGCCAATAGCATACCGGATTCGCTTCAAAGTGCTGGTTTTGACCTTTAAAGCCCTAAATGGCCAGGGTCCAGCCTACCTGAGGGACCGCCTTTCTCCATATGTTCCCCCAAGGGCACTTCGGTCGGGAGGGAGGCATCTCCTGGAAAT